ACAGGCCAAATAAGTTTGGGAACCCAGGCTGTAGACCAACAAAACGGCACACCCTAGGGTCAGCAATTCCACAAGGACCTTTGTTCACAGCCTAGATAGTCTCCTCTTACAGAGACTTGTTGGGTTTCGCCTATAAAGAAACTCTCAAATACTACCACCGTATAGACTCGTGTACAAGCCGAGTTTTCCCAGCACACTTTTAATGCAGTTTTTGTGGTAAAAGTAGGTGCCTCAGCTGATATTTGGGTCTGCTTATACTTGAGTATGTACGACACTTACTTTGGGAACTGAGTTAGAAGCTACTTGTACACAATTATCCAACAGAACCAGTAAGCATTAGTCACCCTAATTGTCAAGCCTCTGAAAAAACTTGGAACATTGCTGACTCCATATTTAGAATTTCTCCATTATCCCCCCAATAATTAAAAAAAACAACAACAAGATTCCACCTCAGAGCTTGTCTTTCTTCCCCAGAAGTCTACCGGTACTTTGGTGGACACTAGTCTATGCCTATCGCCTCTCAAAATTTTGCCAGTCTGGGTAGGTGTGTCTTTCTGGTAATGCTGAAATAAAGATGCACCTTGCTGATTCCTGCAGGACAATTCCTCAATACCCTTCTGAAAGGCTTAGACGCAACCTCTTCTAGTTTTCTTGGAAACAGTACTCTTGGAGGTAAAGGCTGAGGTTCAGGGGCATGCATGGTGTTTATTTGACTCCATTGGTGTGGACAGTGCAGCTACAGCAATGGCTGGACAGCATAAGCCACCAACTCAGAGGCTTAAGCATTTCGGAGAATGGCAGAAATAGCAAAGTTCAAAATTCTGCCAGAACAAGTGATCAAACATCCCCACCCCTGGCCTAACCTGTATGTTAGCAACTGAAAGGGGTAAACAGCCCATTTTATTTCTGAGATATTTTTTAAATGGCAATCTCTCAGACCTAGGTTGAGTCCTCTACCAGAATTACTAATAATTCACTCATCTAAGAGTTGGGTGTGATTTGCTGTCCTTCTCTCACATGTTTTCTATTGAAAACAAACAAACAAACAAACAAACACACCATAAATCATCTATTACGTTTAAAAGATCTACTGAACAAACAAGACTTTCCAGCTTTGCATGAAACCCCTTCCTGGCACTACAGAAAGCTGGCTGCCCAGGGTGAGTGGCCACCATGGTAGGCAGCACGGTGCTCTCCAGGTGAGCGAGTTCCTCTTAAGACTTAGCTATGACACTGGCTTAGTTGTTACCAGCAGCCTAGGTGATGCGGTGGTTACTCACTGGGCTGCCGTCCGTATGGTTGGCAATTTGAAACCACCAGCAGCTACACAAGAAAGACTGGGCTTTCTGCTCCCATGAACAGGTAGTCTTAGAAACAAACGCGCCTCGGCGAGTTTGGTTTGTTTGTTTTACTATTTGTTACTAGTTTCCGACAACAAAATCACAAGATTTTAATAATGTTAAACTAACAGTCAACATGTTACAAACACAAACTGGAGTGCCCCTTCCTCTTTTCCACTGCATACTTTCCTTTTCCCCACCCTCCCGGCTCATTTAGCTCTTTATTCTTTTAAACAATTTCAGGGACAGTTCCAAGATTTCCCCTTTCTGTGTTAAGCAGGTTCTCAATTTCTCCATAGCCACGACTTACTTGTTCACTCCTTCCTGCCAATGTTCAAGCTTTGGAGAGGGAGTATTTAGATATTTCTTCCAAGGGGTACCTACTGTCCTCAAACTTCATATACTTTGCCAATAATCAAGGCAATCAACCAGTAAACTGAAAATGGTGTTATCACCAAGTAAGATTTTCCTCTGTCCTTCATATTCCCTTGTGTCTCCTCCACCTTTGGTACCCTTATCCTCTCAACTAAATACTTACATCTATTTTCCGATGGCTTCTCTTTAATCGAGAAGATGGCACTATGGGTTAAGGTGTCGGATTGCTAACTCTTTTGAAGGTTGGCATTCCAACCTAACAACCACTCCAAGTTAGAAAGAGGCAGCTGTGGAGTCACGAATGGCCCATCTAACATAGGAAGCATTGTGTGCAGCATTTCTCATACATTCTTTCGATTCAATAATCCTTTTCCTTTTTACAGCTTCTCTGTGCCCCCAATTTCTCCTCTGCAAATTGAGGATAGTGAGTACTTTACCTCACAAGGTTATTACATGAATTGAAAAATATATCTAAAATGCTTACAACAATGCTAGGCACATATTAAGCACAGAATTGTTAGTAATAATCCTAATGATCACTACATTTCCTTATATTGATATAAATACAGCAATATTCTCAGGCAAGTGAAATGGGACAAATTTTACTAGTTACTGTATATACTCGAGTATAAGCCGAGTTCTTCAGCACATTTTTAATGTAGTTTAATGGTAAAATTAGGTGCCTCGGCTGATATTTGGGTTGGCTTATACTCGAGCATATATGGTAACCCTCACTATGGCCACCAAGTAGATGAAACAAGTTCTCTCAGAGAGAGAATGGCTTGATGCTTAAAAAACACCTACAGAAATAACTGAAACTGACAGATGTCATGGACAAAAGAACCATCGATCTCCTCCAGTAAGGATTACAGCCTAGAAAACCCAATGGGGCAGTTCTGTCACATGTTCCGAGTTGAGTTGGAACAACCTAACAGTCGCAGATGGTTAAGAAAAGTTTTCATAGTTTTAAAGGGCTGTAAAACAAACACAGAATTATATGTGGTACTTATGTGGCGTGCAAGCTTGAATATTTATTATCTGGTCCTTTACAGAGACGTCTGCTGACCCTGCTCTACGATAATATTTCTTATATGTTACTTAGTAGTTTGAGATAATTCCTATCAGTGACAAGTTACAGTGAATCGTCAATTTTTACAGTGATGAGGCTAGAACGCCTTTATAACAGTATTTGCTCTCAAATGTATACCACTTCGTTCCAATAGCTAACTAGATTGTTTTTAGAATTCCAGAACACTATGGAAGCTCAGATATCAAACCAGAACATCCTGAACAATCGTGCTTCAGTTACACTGCTTAGTCTAGACAAAGTGGGCGCACAGCCTGGCTACAGGAAACCTTTCTCTCTCAGGGAGAGTCAGACTAGCTGACAAATGAAGTATGGTCTCACCAGTTTCACACAAAGCACAGCCTTCCCTCAGCCCCCGCCCCTGCCCATATCTCACTTAGCTGAGAGGAACAGCACCCGTCCTTTCATTTCTCTAAAGTCTACCTCAGAGAGATAAACTGAAAGGACTTCAAGAAGTTGGTGGAAAACATTCCATTAACTTTTAATTTCAATTTTCCATTAGGTAGCTGCTTGAGCCCCCATATAGATCTAAAAATCTCCAATGTGTTTTTTTAATTAAATTTTCTTTCAGAATTCTCTCAAAGTACGAAAAGAAAACAAACTCACTCTAGTGCAGGTCTCAGAACTCTAACTTTTAATGCTTCTAAGATTCGATTTAGCTCCACAAATGGTTCTTTCTGACTTGGGTCTACAGAAAGACCAGATTCCTGGAGGAGAGAAATAAAGAAGAACTTTTGTTACCAGCAGTGAGGATAAAGAGTGGTAAAAGCATATTGTAGACAATGACCTACAGGGGAAACCATTACGAAGAACGTGTTTTTATTATGTATTCTCAAGACTGATGATCTGATGGACCTTCCAAGCATCATTCTTTCCCCCCTTACCATAAAATTCTAAAATAAAAGGCAAACCCCCGTTCATCTGAAATACACTTTAGTTTGGAATTTAACTGCTAAACATCTATAGGCTGATCCGGACCAGAATATTCACCTTTGCCCCTTTTCTCATCTCTGCCATCCTAGCCTTCGCTGTCAAAGGAGGAAATGGAAAAAATGGTATCACTTCTGACCCCCTTTGTTCATCATCTGAGGCCTGCCTTCTGGCCCAAGAAGGAGGAAAGAACAATCCAGGAAAGTTCTAGAACTGTAATTTTCACCAATAAAAAAAAAAATAGGACTTCTTAGGAAAATGAGGTTAGCCCAGATACAATATCACCAGGCCAAGGCTCAAAACCCACTCTTCCAGTTACAGACAGTCCAAGGAGGGGTCGTTTCTTTCTCACATCCTCCCAGTTGCCCATGGGTCACCTGGCAAAGCTCCTCAGCCACATCCAGCATCCCTTGTCGAAAGAAGTGCTCCACCATCACCTCATTGAGCAGTCGTTGGCTGTCTGCCTGCCAGCAGCCATCGATCCCCACACTGCTAATGTCGGAATCAAAATTCTGAAAAAGAGGAAAGGAATCATGAACTGACTAGAAAGAATCATCACTCTACCTAACAGGAAAAAATGCTTCTTCAGAGTTCACTCTCAGAGATGTCCTGTAAGTGTCCAACTTCAACCTACCTGTGGCCTACCAGACAGTTTTTCCATCACTCCTTTCTAAAGCACGATGCTCTCAGAGAGTATCTCTGGGAGAGTGAACAAGGTAGTCCTGTTTTAGAGGGTAATTTGGGAAAATATCTAGATATAATGTGTGTAAACTGACTTCCAGACATTATAGCACAGCAATATTTTCAAAGAATACAATGGTATGTGTTCCATGCAGCACTGTTTGTAATGGCGGGGCCAGAGGAGGACGGGGATGCCCACCAACAGAGGATTGCCTACATAATTTAAACCAGTGTGCCCCCAAGTGGGTGATACTGCCCCCTACGAGGCAATGGAATGATGGGGGAGGGAGAGCTGTAAAAGCATATACTTACACTTTATCTTGGATTAGAGGCTATAGTATGAGTGCTTTGAATTGCCAGAGTGGCACTGAGTAATTTATTTTTCCTGAAAAAGTAGGTGAAGTAAGTTCAGGAACCTATGAGCTAAAAAAATCTCAAACTCAATGGCATCAAGTTGATTCTGACTCATTTCAGATCTGACCCTAAAGTGCACACAACATAGACTGAAAACTGAACCTATTGCTCAGGTCCCTAACTGGCCACTGGGTGGCGGCACAACGGGACAAAACTGAATGGCAATGAAGTTGCCATTGAAACTACTATCCAGAGTAGACCTCATCAGAACTTGTGACTAGAACCCAACTGGTCGGACTGCTTGTTAAAACAAAAACAGCGACATTCTCCAATTAATTAAAATAAGGCCTAGAGTCTCATATTATTCAAAATATCTAGCCTACAATTATTTGTCACACACACACACACACACACACACACCCCTCCCCACCCCCACCCCCGAAACATTTCAACTCAAGGGAAAAGAGGCTCAGCAGACACCAATGCTAGGATGAAAGAAAGGTTAGGATTTTAAAGGCTTCTGAAAAAAGCTTCAGGCGAAACACACTTGAGATAAAGGCAGAAACTCTTAGCAAGGTGGGCAAGGAACAATCAAGCTTGCCACCACTGACGCACGGTGCCCTACAGGGCAAAGCAGAACTGCATCTGTGGGTTTCCAAGACTATAAATCTCCATGAGGGTACACAGTCTCATCTTTCCCTGTGTAGTGGCTGGTGGGTTCAAACTGCTGACCTTCAAGTTAGCAGCCCAACATGAGATCTACTGTATATCAAATAAGGGAGCATAAAAAGAACCAAAAGGCAATCTCAGAAGAGAAAAAAAGTAAACTCCAATCCATCCAAGACTCTCAGGGCAGAGGAGAACTGACGCACAGGGTTTCCAGGGCTGGAACTCTACACAGAAGCAGACAGCCACATCTTTCTTCCAGGGGGCAGCTAGGGGTGTAAGCCACCACGTTCTGGTTAGCAGCCCAACATTGACTTAGTCACTGTGCCATCAGAAGTGAATAAGCAGCAAATCCAATTAGTATCAAGACTTTAAAAGAAACCCTGATGGTATAGATTACACATTGCGCTGTTAACAGGAAGATCATCTGTTCATCTGATGCTCCGCAGGAGAAAGTCAAAGCTTTCTATTCCTGTAGTTACAGTCTCAGAAACCCACAGGGGCAGTTCTACTGTTCTGTAGGGTCACTGTTCTACAGCATTAATAAACTTGATGGAAGACAGCTCAAGGCTTTTCACCGTTCAAGTCTGCTTCCTCCCCCTTTATCTTTCCTAAGTACTACCCACTAGGAAATCTCCTATATTTCCTTTATAAAAAGTACATTAATTTAATTAGAATTATTTAGGTGCAACTGAATGACAATCCTAGTCCACCACTACTTAAATATATTCAAACCAATGTGGGATTATTTTAAGGAACCGACAAGAACAGGTGATACGTTGCAAGCAATAACAGCTGCAAGTACTCTAGGTCTCCTATCCCAAATTGAGCACATTTTTCTTCCCTACAGAATTATCTACTCTTACATGTCATGCCAGCAGCCTAAGACAGAATGAAAACATAAATTAAGATTTGGAATTACTCAGGTGGTGGAGAGACTACTGTCAGAGTCTTAATTTCTTTATTACATTTTGCCTATTGAGAGTTGATTTTATAACAGTTGCATCACTATTTTTGAGCACATTACCCTATTTATGAGAGAATGCTGGAAGAAGAGAAGATGCTACTTTGATCATCCGGTGTTGAACAGAAACCCTGAGGGTGATCAATGTTACACTCGCCCACAATTTACTCCTCAGCAAAGAGCCATTTAAGTGAATAAAGGAATGGGTATCTGGAGTTCGGAAAATTTATTAGACACTAGATATCTAAATGTTTTCTAGATATCTAAATGTTCCCTATAGGAAGTCACTGACATTAATTAAGAAAGGTCCCTCACTCATCTGTCAACTTCTTTCAACCCGAATACACATTTCAGGGTTTTACCTATTCATTTAATGATTATTCTTCAATTCCACCAACTACCAATACATTTATCAAGCACGATTTCACAGGAAAGAAATAACTTTGTAAGACAATGGTTAAAAAAAATAATCACTGTACTTCCACAAAGGATAAAACCCCAAAGCCTATTGTCATCAAGCCACTTTAGATTCAAAGCAAACTTATAGAATAGAGCATGTTAAAATATTTATCTGGCAATATATATTCAGTCAGTGATGGAAACTGAACACATGAGAAAACAATTAGTCCAATGAGCTAATGGATCATACAAATATCCATCACTAGTGTAGAATAGATTTAGACCCTGAGACCAGAAGAATTAGATGGCACCCAGTAACCACTACCAACTTATTTGAAAGGGATCACATTAGAAAGTGCTGGATGGAAAATGTGGAACAAAATTCAAAATCATAAAGACCAGGCGTACCAATCAGAAAGTGACTGGCAGAGTTCCAAAGACCATGGCCCTTAATCATCCAACAGGTCTAGAAAGGAACCTACCTACCCATGGCTCAATTTTCAGGCAAACAATAGGCCAGTCTATAAGCAGAAGACTAACTCTAGAGAGGTACACACACCTTTGAAAAATCAAGAATCTGAGACCAAAAGGACCAAGTTCAGAAGGGTCAGGAAAGGAGGTGGAACGGAAACAGCAAACACCTGGAGGAATGATGGTAACTTGGGCTGCAATCAATAGAGATGAAATAAAATGTGTATGAACTAGTGAGTGGAAAACTGATTTGCTCTGTAAATCTTCACCCAATTCACAATGAAAAGTTTACACAAACCAAGTTATATTTTATTTCAGAGCTACCACACTATAATTACACCAAGCAAAATAATTCTTTGATGTATTTCCTTAAATGTCCATACCAAAGTAAATCTTCATCACTTAGGAGAGCAGCATTTAAAATTTTCCATCGAATTTGTTAAAAGTTTTATAAAGGTGCTTTTCCCGTGCTTTTATCTCCATAAGGCTCACTATGGTCAGTACTTACTGATAATAAATCTCCTTACACTCAGGATATCTCTACTACATTCAAGCTTTTTGACTTATTTTCCAGTTCTTGAAAACTACAACTAGGCAGTAATCAAAATTATCTGAAATTCCTTCTACTTCTGATTTTATAGGTTAAGTAAACAGAATTCACTTTTCATATTTATTTTTGTTCGCGTGTGGTAAAAATTAATCTGGATAAAACATACAGTGGCAGAATGCCTTTTGTTCTAAGTGCACATTCTTCTTACAGTTGCCTCAGAGCTGGAATCAAGCCCAGCTTCTGTTGCTAAGTTACCAAACTTGTTTGCAGGGCAGCCCAGGAAATCTGCAACACTGCAAACTAGCCTAAAGGTGGCTAAGAAACAAACACCTATTATCATCTTCTATTTTATTAGATTTGTTCCTTTCATATTTTTAAATAAAAGAAATGCTATGGGGAACATGGTTGGAAGGTCTCAAAGCGAAAAAAACCAAAACACAAAAACTAACAACCACTGAAGGGAAGGGTGTGTCCACCTGGAAAAGATGTTGCAGCTCAGAGAAACCTAGGACACAGACATCTGTCCACTACCGCTTGTATTTTTAACTGTCATATTTATGATACATTAAGGTTCTAAAATCTGGAAGCTGAGGTAGAGAAGGAATAAATAATTTTAATATAACTGGAAATTAAAAAGATTATCATACCTCTTGACCATATAATGAAATTCTCTACAAATCAGGCAGGACTGGTTTTCATTGTTCACTACCCAAACAATCTTTTTCTGAAAAACATCTTATAAAATAACGACTACTGAACAAGCAATTCGGTACATGATGATTCACTATTTATTTTATTCTTAAGTGCCAATTCTGTACATCATTAAAAACAAAACTTGCCCATTCGCTTGTTAAGAAAAATGTATATGAACCTAACAATGCACTAATATTCCAACTACTGGGAATCAATATCCCTTCTAAACATCCAGTTTATCTGGTTTAGCAGGGAGGAATACTGCAAAGGATATTTAGCAAAATAAGAACTGGATTTTAATTCCACACAGACTAGGGCAGATCTCTACTGCACATACAACCCACAAAACAATCATATCCAAAAGAGGCTAAGAAGAAAATATCTATCAATCAATCAAACAGACAACCAAGGAGAAAATAAACAAAAGATGCATATGAAATTTACAAAGGGGGGAAATTGTAATGGTCAGACATACGAAAAAATGTTTTGCCTCCAAGACTATACATTAATACTAGTTATTCCATATCTGATTAATATTTTAAATTCTGATAATACAAAATATAGATGAGAACTGCAGGTCGTTCCTTCGAACACAATCTATTCTCTCAGTAGTTCTGGGTGGGGGTCAGGTTTCCATTAAGGCCAATACTCTATATACAACCCATTGGCTCAAAATAAAGTTTCCTTTCCAACCAATTCCTAACTCCCTCCCCTTTTAGCTTATTCAATCAAGT